GTTTTCCTCAAATCGGAACGGGTTCAAAAAGTGGTTGCTGCCGGTGGATTTTCTATGCATGACTTTCGAGAGGTAATTCTTCTACCTTACCCTTCATATTCTCTATTATTTTACATTTATGTTAATTATTGCATCAAATTTTATATTTATATTACTTCTCGATTTGTTTTACCTTAATATACTTTTATATTTCTTTATATTTCCTCGATATAATCGTTCATGTATTATATTTACTCAAGGCATTTTAAGGTTTTCCGATGTAACGTCGAAAAACGGATTCGCTCCCTGCCAGATATTGAAGGCCTTTCCAAAGATACTGTACTGAGCTCTTGGATGACAAAATTCGACACAATCACCAAGGGAGACGAAGAAACGCAAGGACGTACTGCAAGGTGGGCAAATGAACTGAGAGCCATAAATCGAGCCGTGACTGAAGAGGCCATTAAAGACACATTCTGCGAAATGAGCCCACATCTAGGGTGGATGCTGTTAGACTTGGGACTTCAACCTCTCCAAAGCTTTAGTAAGAAACGGTTAAAGGAATCTTCCACGGAAAAAGCTCCGCCTCCATTACCACAGAAAAACGATACCTTAGGCCCCTAGCCTCATGAGCATAAGCGTTAGTTTCGATAATACTAATCCTACACACAAGACAAAATGATCACTCTTTCCGTGGAAGATTCCTTTAAGGTATCGTTTTCTGTGGTAATGAGGGCGGAGCTTTTTCCGTGGAAGATTCCTTCAAGGGTAATGTATAATGTGGCATAAAGAGGAGGGAGTGGGTGACGGCGTCAGTGAGCTATCACCACTTTTCACACAATGTGTAACTGGTAGCACAATTGCCCGGAAAGCAAGAGATCCGGGTACGAATCCCGGCTGGGCGAAAGTTTTGCCCACAACTCAGCATTCTTGTGATAACTTTCGCAACGCGAACTGCAGTTGTCCATAAAAAGTTGTAAATGCTAATTGTTCACAATGTTCAACTGTTACATTCTTGGGGGATGCTATTTGCTTCACTCGAGATGCCACACTGTTTGAAAGACGACTTCATGATAAGTTCGGATGTCGATGAAGAAGAAGTATACCTGGTGAAAAGGCCAGCCGAGCCAGTTGAGGGTGCAGGACGATGCGCATTCTGAAGCGAAGGGTATGCCTCCAGCGATACAACAGGCCGCACCTTCACCGATCGCAGCGCTGCGCTCCCATCGACGAGTAATTCCTCGCCGTTTGACTCTAGCCGCTCTAGCAGAGAGAGCGTCAGCATGGATGAGATCAGCAACAATGAGATCAGCTTAATGCGTAAATCAAGAGGCAATTGGAGGCCACAATTCTCGATTTTTGGCCCGTTTTTCCTATTTTTTTTCGTCGTTGCATCACTGACCACCTCTGCCTTGATTCTAAGGGGCTCCCTTTCAATCGTCCACCTCAGAAGGGTCCCCTTATCGTTAGGAAAATATGATTTGCAGTAAAGAAAATAAGAAAAGGAAAACAGTGGATTTACGCTCAATAGGTTCCTAATGCAGGGAAAGAAACGATAGGTCAGAAAGCGTGAGCCCTGAATTCCTGCTTTTGTAAAACTCAGTGCCATTATTCGTAGCTTATATATTATGAGGTTCTTCGCTCCCCAAGAACCCAAGAGTCGTGCCATGTCAGCCTTTCTGACAGGTGGTCTGCGCAATTTCTCAACCTTTATAGCTCTCAAGGTACTCTCTCCAGAGGTCGAGCCCGGAATGCGCCCGCCCAACCGAACGCCGATGTTATACTCGGTAAAGAGCAGCTGTACGATATGTTTCAACAAGTGCTTGGTGTGAAAAAATTCGAACATCAAATCATTTTCAACGCACTTCAGGTAGGTTGCAATTATTCTCGTAATCTTTTTTTTATATGATATAATTCTTTTCCATTTTCTTCAATTCATGCATGCCCATCTGCAACTGCGCTTACGGAGCACACGGTATTATTTCGACTCGAAAAAAAAAATTACAGCTTGACAACCCCGATGAACAAGCGGCAGCGATTCGACGTGAGGTCGCAACGAGAGAAGATGCCTGTCGAGAGATTCATAAGGTTCCCTTTATTTTTGTTTTTTTTTTTTTCGATTTTATTGTTTTTGGCTGACTACTTTTTAACGCACAAAAGTTTCCGCATTATGTGAAAGAAATTTCTTGGATAGAATCGGATCACGTAATATTCCAACAAGCCATCCCACTCATTTTTCTGGCTTATTGGCGAATCGTCACAAAGTTGCTAAAGCAAATTTACCTTTACCAGTGTGATCTCATTTGTAATACTAGACAGGTGGAGACAGGGAATGTGTCAGGAGGTCCACAATTTGGGGATATCGACCAAAGGCTTCTTGATCCGAGATTTGACGCGAGCACGACTTTGCTGCGAGAAAGTTACCGTATCTAATCAGAGTCAAATCCGTCGCGTTGAGTGCTGTTCAGGTTTACGACATGTTAAAAGCATTCGAGTATTATTAATATTAAACTTTCTATATGGCCTTATCAGGGGTGGGGGAGGGGAGGGGCTTTCTGGTACGTAGCGTCTACATTCAGCGGTATCTCAAACTTTGGTTAGAGTGATGAGCGTCAGGATGGATAATGCCATATAAAAATTAAGACTCGTTAAAATATCGATGAAAATAACAAAAAATAAGACCAGCGATCAAACTCGTCTCTCCTTTTTTCGTCATACCCTCACAGCCACGTCTATTGGACGCATGAAAAAATAATCCAATCCAATAAATAAAAAATACAAATAAATATTATATAATATTCAGATGCGAAAGATCATGCCGAAGTTTGTTGTGAAAGATATGGAAACGTTGTTTATGGATGAAGTTCGACAGTCGATCAATTTATTGATTTCCAATTTGGAATCGTCGGTACCGGTAACACCTCGAGGGCAAGCGGTTGGAAAACGGAAAGACAAGTCACGGTAGGCTACCTTCAAGTGGTTTTTTCTACAGATTTCGAATTTTCCAATGGTTCTGAAGAATTCTTTTGCCATCGCTCTGAATTTTGCTTCCAGTGCTTATCCCATTTTTGCAGAATTCAGATGTCATTCCCATTTTAGAATCGTACCTTATGCTACAGCCATTTCCTTTGCTCGATGTAGAATTCAAGAGTTTCCCGGAAGCTTTCTTCCTAAAGTGCATTCTCTGACCTCATCATAATTTTTGTTATTTTACCCATTTTTGTTTTGTTTTTTATTTGCTTAGAATCTCTATTGATTTTTGTTGGAAAATCCTTTGTTGTACGAGAGCTTCATATGTTTCAGCAGCACTACTAAGTCGAAACGGTAGGTTAGAGCGGGGTAGCCTGCAGATTTGCAACTCACTTCTCTGTCGTTTTGGTTGTCGCTGTTTCACTCATTTTATTTCTTTTTTTTATTTCCATTCCCTATTTTCTCTATTATTTTCATGCACTTTCCATGGCAGTGAGAAAATCGAAAAATCAATAATCAAAAGGCAATCAAATCGGGTAGTGGCGTACGAATGCAAGTAATATTGCTACGAGGGCAGCCGTCAGCAGAAGTATACGCCGCCATTGAGTCTCGCACGCGCATGCAAATATTCGCTTCTCCTACACTGTAGTCGGATCTTCATCTGCGCTTCTCTAGAATATAAAGGACCCCACTAGCTCAATGCGAGAGCCTTGCCCTATCGCAGCAGTTTCGTCGCTTGTCCTGACCGCAGGACGAAGTCACGGGTTCGTCCGTTGCGGTGGGGGCTGCGCAAGCACTAGTTGATGCCGACTACAAAAACTCAGTTTTCCATGGGGAGTGATCCCTGAGGGAACCACTTTGCTTCCGCTTATACACCCACCCTGGAGTCTCTTTCCTCTGCAAAAAATCGGGTTACTTTGGACGATAGCATCTGCGTGCAGCCTATCGACTCCTTACCGATGAATACCTCTGAAAGCACCATCCACGCAAAAGAAGCGCAGGAAACCGAAACTATGTAACAGAAACTATTGGTTTGAAAGATTTAGACTGAATGAAGCGAAATTTGGCTCGCGTGGACTAGCGGAGTGTGCCTTGAGCTAACAACCAGGCGTGCGGCGACAACGGTATCGCGCGCGTGTTTATACTTCCGCGGAAGGGCTACAGTAGGAGTTCTGCCAGGAGAATAGTAAGGAAGTCAGGGAGTCATGTGGCTTGGCTTCTATGAGCCGTCGTAATTAATTTGTGTCTTGACTCAGACCCGAAGAACTTTCAAATCTTATAAAAGGAAAAACTGCCATGGAACGGCTTGTCAGCCACTTCCGCTTCAATACTGTACGCGAATTTGTCTTTCACACTCTTTGGCACTCTTTTTCGGTTTCTGCACGTCGTCTGATGATCTTGTTCGATTTACGCACTTTTACACACAACACATATAAACACACACGCAACTACACCAACACATGAATGTCGCTGACGAGTCCATACTCGGACGCGAGCCAAAACAAATCACCCGAAAGTCTCGAAATTATTTTGCATTTTAGATCGCGAAGCATAGAGGATCTCTCACTGTTCAACAGGTTTGCATACTTGTTTTGCTTTGTGATTATTATGTATTATGAACGGAACGAGAGTGAAGCTTACTGTCTATCACTGCTTTGCTTTTGTTTACTTTTGTATACGTTGGCCGGCTATTTATTTGTTTGGTTGCCGTGTTTAAGGCTCAGAAGCATTCGACATTCAGACCTTCAATCAGCTTTACAATGATACATTCAACGCGCTAACATTCTGAGAATATGCTCAAAGCATGGCGCATGCCAAAAGGATTGATCAAGACCAACCGTTTCGTGCATTTGTACCTCTCCGAAGGGTGGAGTTTATTTGGTGGCCACTGGCGTGACTTACCACCCACGCTGACCCGGCTTCACTTCTGGTTTGTCTTCCGTCCGGACAAAGTAAGTCTTCATCCCCCGGGCTCTGTAAAGTTTCGTCCGCGAAGATAGAAGCGCAGGCTACCTGCTACTCAATTGCCGAAGACATTCGCATCGAGGAGCATGTTTGGTGTCATTCAGAGGCCCTGGCCCTGTTATTAGTCTCGGGGTGTAAGAGTAGCGCTGTCCTCGACTGCAGACCGGACGAACATATCACAGGACATATTTCTCAAATAAACTGGATGCAGAATGCGCCTTTGAAGCAACCTCAATATGAGGTCGTGTGGAAGGCCGGTGCCAGACTTTGCGAATACAGCGATTCGCCACGACTATTAGAACAATCTCCTCTGTGGGTAGGATGAGCAGCCCGCGCATATCGCAGCTGTGCCGTCGTTGCGCAAAATGAAGGCCAATGGCGCTTGGGCTCTACTAGGTGAGCTAATGACAGCTAATGAGGAGCTGGGACGAGATCCCTCGCGCATACCCCCTCACCGTGACACGGAACGTGGATTATGACTGGCATCTAATTCGAATACGCGCTGATTAGTGGAGCCATGGTGCAGACAACTTCGGACAGCTTGTCCGACGCGCTAGTCCCTCCTTTAGGAGAAGTCCCGGGTCTATTCCAGTTAGGGGGGCATCATGATGCAGTTTCTCGGCGAACTAGTGTGAACTCGAACATTCCAGCTTTTCACGCATGTCAAGTGACTGCCCTCACCCACCCCCTAGAGGGCTACACTCCCCCTGGCTCGGAGTTACCCTAGCTTTCTGGAAAAACTGCATCATGATGCCCCCTAACTGGAATAGACCCCCGACTACCTTTGACCTGTTGCCATCCGCGGTTTGCTATTTGCATCATCCATTATCTTTCATCAACTCCGCATTCACAATTTCATTATCGACCACTCTTTTCCCACCGATGTGTTCTGAGATTGTTGCTGAAGGTATCAGCTCGCGATGCCAATCAACGCTGTTTACTTTAAATTTGACCTTTGTCGGAGGAATCAGCAAGAAAATGCTTTACGCGACTTAATTAAAAACATTCATTGTTCGTATTCGAGCCACTCCAGCCTTCCTCTTTAAAGCAACAGTTCAGGAACGGTTTCGCGGGAAAAAACCACCAATAATGAAGTTGTAGATGAAAACCAGACGATTAATGTATGAAAAACTGGAAAAAAACGTCGGGGAGGGTCTTAGACAGGTACTCTCCCTCTGCCGCTCAGCAATGGATAAAGACGCACGTTGGACGAGTTGTCTGAACGTGCCCGCTGTAAACGCGCTCCATTTTTCAATCAATTTTCCCTGTGGTCCCAAAACGAGCACGATTGCCGACGCGTCCAATGACGGCCGGCAAGGGGGCGGGATTGGGGAAATCCCCAAGAACACCCATGTTTGAGGGACTTTCCACCCTGTTTTTGAGTTTCTGAGGTAAGTTCGTTTATTATTTCCACTGCATATGTTCTTTCACTAACAAGGGAGGTCTTTCAGGTGTACCCGCGCTTTCTCAAAACGGTTTTTTGCATGATGTAGAGGGATGTGCGTGGATTACAGAACTGTAGTCCATTTTCCGCTAAATGGCTCTCTGAATGCCAAAAAAGGAGTGAGCAAATGGTCCTTGGTTCGATTCTCCGCGGCGACAAATTTTTTGCATTGTGATTTGACGCAACAAATTGGCATCAAATAAGTTGTGCTCGCAAGAACGGCACCAGACGGTCACGTCGAAACGCGTTGTAGGGATCCAAAATGATGTCGGAGCTGAAAAAGATTGTCATATTCGTAATCAAGACACCTGATTACCCTCCTATATGAAGTTTCCAGGAAAATCAAAACTTTGACCCAACTTCGAAAAATTGCCCATGAGTAATAAGTAACACTGTAGCACGTCAGGCTCGTCGGCGAGCTTCTTGGAAATGACCTCCTCTAGATCCCCATAGAAAATGAAAATGTTCCTACCGAACAGAATAGTAGACACCCAAGCTGATGACGGTCGGGGAGAGGGGACACCCGCAATGCAGTAGTTTTCTGCTAGTCTCCACACGGAGCTTGCCCCCAAGCGACTGGAAATACTTGAAGAGTTACTTATGTCTAGTGGAAAATTTTCGAAGTTAGGTCAAAGATGCGATTTTCCTCGAAACTTCGGCTATAGAGGTAAATCAGTGCGCTGGTTAAGAATATGGCATTGTTTTTTGGAGCCGCCGCTATCTGGCGCCATTTCGACGTTACAACTTTGTTTGCCTGCTTTCGGTGAAAACTTACCTCATCGGGGTTTTAACGGTTCTGATCATGAATAATACATCTATTATGGCGTTTATGCAGCTTGGAGCAACGAGACCGAGATCTGGAAGTGCCAACAAGAAACGCAAAAAATTGCGCATCTCGAGGATCCGAACCAGCAACCCCGTCCAACTGTGCCAATTGAAGTCCATATCGCTATCCACCAGGGTCAAGCGAGGCGTTGAGGAAAATTTGGAAATACGACCCCCCCCCACCCTCCGCCGGAGGCCGAAGTCCATGAAACAACCCTCTTCAAAAGCCGAACTATGAAAAGGTTGAAAAGCTTGTTTAATTCTCCCCCAAAACTGCTCATAAAAAAGCCCTGCTACCCCACCGCCCACAAAAAAATTCGTTTAAGTACAAAAGTGAAAAAGTCAAAGAATAATCATTATTGATGAGTCCTACCAAACGAGCAAACGAGAAACAGACCAGAAAACGACAAACTAGCCACTAAAAATGGCATACTATGACACATCTCTTCTTTGTTTATTTCCTCCACAAGACTTACCAAATTCTAGTACTACACAGATTGTGGTTCTCAATTTGCACGTAGCCCTTCAGTTGAAAGAAGCTTTTTAACCGCCTTCGCCAGCTGTGTGTTGACTGGACTTTGGCGTTGACCGTGGAGCAGCTTATTTACTATTGAAATTTGAACAAATATTCAAATGATTATAACTTTCTTCAAATATGACGAATTTTCAATCTGAAAGCAGATTTGGGAGTTTTGTGAAGAGCTTTTCTAATCAGTATTGAAATTACAAAAGTTATAAGAAATAACAAATTTAGATCAATTAACGAGGAAAATTCGAGATGAGCACGAGTTTTTACACTTTCCGAAGCAATAACTTGCTTCATTTTCGTCAAATTCGAAAAGTTAATATGGCATACAAAACTAGAAGATTTTCTCTACCAAACCATTGCTAAAGCAGCTCTATACGTCCAGTATTCAAAAAATGGCCACGTTGAGGATTTTTGCAAAATTAACGAGGAAAATTTGTGATGAGTGCGAGTTTTTTTACTTCCTAAAGCCATAACTCCGTTCAACTCATCCAATCCGAAAAGTAAATACGCCATCATAAACTAGAAGATTTGCTCTATCAAATGCTTACTAGAACTGCTCCAAACGTCCAGTATTAAAAAAACGGCTACGTTGAGGATTTTCGCACGAGTACCGCCGAAAGGTACTTTTTCGCTACATTGGCACTATTTCAACGGCTGTATATCCTTTTAAGGGCGATTATGTACTAAAGTAAGAGCAGATTTGGAATCACTGCTTTTCTCTTTCTAAGAAAAGTGATTGATTAGCGTTTCTCAACTTTAAAGGTTACATGTTTATAAATTTAACCCTGAAGAGTCCGTTAACGCAATGTTGAATGGTGTACACCTCCCTGTAAATGCGCACGGACACTTTCAGAATTCTCTCGATTGTTCCTGAATTGAGGTTGTTTGTCCAAGGAGCCGTAGTTGAAGCGCGCGCAACAACTAGACCCTTTCTCGGATGCGCCGTGTACCTCACATCCCTTCAGATTCGGGGTCTTACTTGAAAGATGAAATATCTCTTGGAAAGCGTGCGAAATTCAGATTCTTTAACTTGTGTGGTGATAAAACACTGAAGTAACTAAGAATTACCGGACGCCTCAGAATCACGAAAATTTTGTGTGGGTGAAATATCATTTTCATTGGAAATCCTCTGGCCTGGCATCGACTCATCCTTGATATTTGTCTTCCGACGGTGATGATCCCACTGCATCAAAATGGCTCGATCTCTTCCACCCAGCGGGCCAATACGACCCCCCCCCCCTGCGACGTGTCGAGGATTCCTCAACGCACGCTTGACCCTGCCTATCCACTACACCACCCGACGCTGCCGAAACGCTTCATAGCCGAAAGCACACCAAGAAACTTAACTTCCACACGCTCTTCACTACATAGTATGTCATCACTACGACAACTTTTCCAATTTTGGCCAAACTTCGCGCTTGTTTTCGATACAGAGCTTGCGAGAACCCTTCGTTATGCAAGCAGTCCACGCCATAAATGAAACAAACCACGGTGAGTGCGCAAAAATTGCACTATCCGACGAAATTATTTTCACTCCTTTTTTGGCATTCAGAGAGCCATTTAGCGGAAATGGACTACAGTTCTGTAATCCACGCACATCCCTCCTCTACATCATGCAAAAAACCGTTTTGAGAAAGCGCGGGTACACCTGAAAAGACCTCCCTCGTAAGTGGAGTTCCTCATATAGTGGCCTTGATGAAATT